TTGTGGCCTTTGCTTTTGGAATTAAATCTAAGAATCCATTGGCAACCAAAAAGTCATGAAGACTTACTCTGTTTTTTTTTTTAATATTGTTTTTTTTTTGGTTGTAGTTGGACACATACCTTTATTTTACTTATTATTATTATTTTATGTGGTGGTGAGGATCAAATCCAGGGCCTAGCATGTGCTAGGTGAGTGCTCTATCGCTGAGCCACAACCCCAGCTTCTTACTCTATGTTTTCTTCAACAAGTTTTATAGTTTTGTCTCTTAAATTTAGGTAACTAACCAATTTTGAGTTAATTTTCATATATGATGAGAGGTAGAGATAAAAATTTTATTCTTTTTGGTGGCACACGCCTGTAATCCCAGTGGCCTGGGAGGCTGAGGCAGGAGGATCATGAATTCCGAGCCAGCCTCAGAAACTGGGAGGCGCTTAGCAAATCAGTAAGATCCTGTCTTCTAAATAAAAAATATCAAATAGGGTTGGGGATGTGGCTCAGTGGTGAGTGCCCCTGAGTTTCCCAGTACCCCCCAGCAAAAAAATTTTATTCTTTTGCATGTGGATATCCAGTTGTCCCAGCACATATGGCTAAATAAATATGGCTAAAGTGTTATTTTGAAAAAAAAAATTAGAGATGATAAAAAAAGGATTAGCCAGGCCATTCTTGGTTTGAAGTAGCACATGTTTTGAAACTTAAGACTTTAGAAAAGAGGATTTGGAGGGGAAAAGGAAACTGATGGAAGATCTGCTAAAATATTCAGTGGTGTGGTTAGTGCTGTAAGCTATGGCTAAAAGGAAGCTCTGGATGATCCTTTACGCGTTCTCTGTTTGGTCAACAGATGGAGATCTAACCAAAAGAAATCATTTTTGATGAGTCAGTTAATCTTATGACACTAACAACTAAAATAATTCAAGTGGCACACTAAAATTAGATGAAAAAAACCTTTGAGCAAGGGATTGTTATTCAGTGAAGGATATATAACTTAAGCAAATAGCCCAATTGAGGGGCTGGAGGTATAGCTGAGAGATAGAGAATATGCTGAGCATCCACAAGGCCCTGGGTTCAATCCCCCAGCAACAACAAAAATCTCTATCTCCTGTTTATTGTCACAGGACAGTTTACCATAGACCTGTCTTACCATAATAGGTCTAGGTAAGACAGGGAATCTAAACCTAATATGAATGGCATATTAACTACATTTTCTTGTTTTATTTTACTTTCCAGCCCTTTTTACTTTTTTATTTTGAGACAGGATCTCACTTAGCTGTTTAGGACCTCACTAAATTGCTGAGGCTGGTGTTGAATTTGCTAATTCTCCTGACATGGCCTACCAAAGCTGCTAGGATTACAGGAGTGGGCTACCACACCTAGCTGTTTTGCTATTCTTATTTCTCTGTTATCTGGGTCTTACTGACCTGGACAGACTGCTCTCCCCAGAGTTAGACATTTCCTACAGAGAAAAAGACAACCTTGCCTAGAGCACATATTTGATATATAAACTGACCCCCAATCCATAACCCCAGACTCCTTTTATCAGGTTCCTGCAGTCTGGGACACTAACTGCTACTCTAAATCATCCAAGGGCCTGGCCCAGGAAAGCTAGGGAACATACCTATAGTGATATGAAATGACTGAAAGAAAGGCTGTGCCAGTAAAGTGCTGAATAATAACATATACCACTGGGGCGCAATGAAGCTCAAATTACTAATATTGCTCTGGTTGCCAATAGCATAGTCCCATTTTCCTGTAGTTAACCAATCTATTCTCTTCTCATAAGAATGGACAGCTCAGCTCAGCAGTTGAACTAGAAAGTGTATTTCAGTGGGAAGAGTGTGGGTTAAAATTAATGATAAATTTGACTACTGTAGTAATCATTTCATTATTCATACTATGAAACCTGTCAGAAAATGGAGTTGCTTGTATCAGTTGTAACAAATAAATAAAACTGGATAATTATCACAAAAGACTGCCAGAACCACAATCATGCACAAAGGCCATTGCAACTGTTACATAAGGAAACTGTTCAACTTTAGTCTGGCACTGCCCTTATTATGCATCCCTGTGGCCACGGATTACTGTTTCAAAATTATCTGATGTAATCTTATGCATTTTTTCCTTTAAAAACTTCCCCTTGGGGCTGGGGATGTGGCTCAAGCGGTAGCGAGCTTGCCTAGCGTGCGTGCRGCCCGGGTTCGATCCTCAGCACCACATACAAACACAGATGTTGTGTCCACCGAGAACTAAGTTAAAATAAATAAATAAATAAATAAAAAATAAAGAAATAAAAACTTCCCCTTGCCTTAACCTCTTTGAATACACTTATAGTTCAACTATGGCATGCACATTCCCAAAGCAATGAACTACTGTTCTCAAATAGATATCATTAATCTTCAGAGAATCTCTGTTATTGAGGTTGACAATATACACAAATCTTGTTGTTCATTTAAAATATGGAAAATAAAAATAAATGAAAAATTAATAATAAATGGAAGAAAGGTGAGATTGTTACTGCAGGGAAGGGAGAAAGTCAAGGTGTGTTTCAAAAGCTCAAGAGATGTTTCGGGTGCAAGAGATGCTAAATTCATGAGAGTAATATTTTCTCTTGGTTTTGACTCAGATGCTCCTTAGAGTAAAGGTCTCTTATAAAAGCTCTTCTCTTCAGAAAGCTCAAAGGAAGATGTGGACAACAGCCAACCTAACAAAAACACTTCTAAGAGTGTCATATTCTTTAAAATAGCAGAAGAGATAGGAGTATTTTCTATAAGCATATGGAACAATAAAAATGAGGCTTTGACTTTTGTTTTGTTTTTTTGGTACCAGGGATTGAACCCAGGGGCACTTAAAAATTGAGACATATCCCCAGCCCCCTTTTTTTAAAATATTTTATTAGAGACATTGAGCTCTAATTGAGCTGCTGAGGCTGGATTTGAACTTACAATCCTCTTGCCTCAGCCTTCCCAAGTTGCTGAGATTACAGGCATGCACCATCATGCTTGGCTAGGCTTTGTCTTTTGATGCTGTTTTACAGAATGCATCTATTAGTAAAGACTCATGTTGGGAAGGACCTGTAAGACTATTAGAAAAACACTGTAAATGTAAACAATGTAAATGAACGTTGTATAGCCATTAATTGTGATGATAAAGGTTTTTAAAACATACCAAAATGTGATGGTAGAAAGTTATCAACTACCCTGTCCCATTTGTCATAATATGAGTAAAAATTAGCTATCTGCTTTGTTATTATGGGTGGCGGGACAATCGGGTCACTTGGCTTACTGACAAGAACTAGATATAAAATGTTTCTTTCTTTTTTTTTTTTTTTCTTTTTTTCAAGAGAGAGAGAGAGAGAGAGAGAATTTTTTAAATTATTTTATTTTTTAGTTTTTGGTGGACACATCATCTTTATTTGTATGTGGTGCTGAGGATCGAACCTGGGCCGCATGCACGCCAAGCGAGTGCGCTACCGCTTGAACCACATCTCCAGCCCCAACTTGATGTTTCTGACATTTCAAATTTCAAGGTGTATGATCATGGAAAGTGCTATGGTACATTTAAATCAATTTATCCATGTGTGATTATCATTCATATGACCCATGCCTAGGGGACTCCTAACAGCAACAACATGTCTGGTATTGCCTTATTCAAAGTAAGAAAGATTTAGTGGAATTAGGAACTGGGCTAGCAATAATTGACTAGGTAGATTTGGGAGTTTTTGGTTTCTTTTTAGAAATGGTTATCATTATGTTGCCAAGCTGGTCTTGATCTCCTCGTCTCAAGTAATCCTCTTGCCTCAGCCTCCCCAGTAGCTAGGACTACAGCCACTACACTCACTTTGGATATATTTTCTTCTTCTTCGTTTTTTTTTTTTTTTTTTTGGGGGGGGTCGGGTACTGGGGGATTGAACCCAAGGGCGCTCTGTTACTGAGCTACATCCCTATTTTGTATTTTATGTAGAGATAGGGTTCTCAATGAGTTCTTAGCACCTCACTTTTGCTGAGGCTGCCTTTGAATTTGTGACACCATGCTGGCTCAGATAAATTTTTTTTTTTTTAAATTTTTTTAGTTGTTGATGGATCTTTATTTTCATTTATTTATATGCAGTGCTGAGAATTGAACCCAGTGCCTCACACGTGATAGGCAAGTGCTCTACCACTGAGCTATATTCCCAGCCCTTAGATTTTCTTTTAATAAGGAAAGTCACCCAGATGAAAAAGATCTTCTAACATAAACAAGGTGCCTTAAATGCATCTGATTCCAAGAGTAAGGACAATAGTGGCAAGCAGAATGCTAACAAAATGTGCCTTACAATTAAAACATACACTAAGATACCATGCCCAAACCACCCTGGCAATAGGAGGAAGAGCAACTAACATTGATGAGTAAAGATCCCCCTTCAACTATGGCATGCTTATTTCCATTAAAAAGAAGGCAGATTTATGGCTGGGTATAATGGCACACACCTGCAATCCCAGTGATTGAGGTAGGAGGATTGCAAGTTTGAGGCTAGTCTGAGCAACATAACAAGACACTGTTTCAAGATGAAAAATAAAAAGGGTTGGGGATATAGCTTAGCATTACAGCATTACGGTGCCCCTGGGCTCAATCCCCAGTACCACAAAGAGGAAAAAAAAAAAAAAGGCAGATTTGCTGCAAGGTATTGAGCAGGTCTCTAGATATGTTCACTAAACATACTGAAGTCAAAGCTAGATGTTCATCTGCCTATAATGTTAAGTATATAACCTGAAGGTGCCTAATGAACCCTAAGAATTTGTGATTTTTGTAACTCGGAAAGAACTTTTTCAAGTTGGGCCCAGTGAAGAATGCCTGAAATCCGAGCTACTCTGGAGGCTGAGGCAGAGGGATTAGAAGCTGAAGAGCAGCCTTGGCAACTTACCAAAACTCTTTAAAATTATAAAGGTCTTGGGGATGTAGCTTAGTGATAGGGTGCCCCTAGGTTCAAACCCTGCTACCAAAAAAAACCTTTTCAATAGGAACCATACCTGTGATGTCAGCTTCCCAGCAATCTGCATTCTCTCAATTTCTGCAGAAGATTTGATTAGCCGGAGGCGCTGTACCAGATGCTGAACTCCCCGAACCTTGTTCTTGCTCCTGGCTTTGGCCTCAGTCACACTCTGCATGTAGTCAGAGTGAAGCTGTGCATGAGAAGGCTTCATCCAGTCATACCAAATGATGTTCGACTCAGCTTAGAATGAGAAAAAAAAAAATTCAAAAAATAAAATTAATAGGCCAGGCATGGTGGCACATGCCTGTAGTCCCAGCAGCTTGGAAGGCTGAGGCAGGAGGATCATAAGTTCAAAGTCAGCCTCAACAAAAAGCAAGGTGCTAAGCAACTCGGTGAGATCCTGTCTCTAAATAAAATGCAAAAAAAGGGCTGGGGATGTGGCTCAGAGGTTGAGTGCCCGAGTTCAATACCTGGTACCAAAAAGTAAAATAAAATAATATTAATAAGAGTTGGGGGATGGGGAGAGGTCAGAGAAGGAGCACATGCTTAGCACTTATGAGGCCTGAACCAAAAAATAAAAATAAAAAGAAGAAATGCCATAAAAATGATAAATGGGGGCTGAGGTTGTGGGTCAGTGGTAGAGCACTTCCCTAGAATGTGTGAGGCACTGTGTTTGATTCTCAGCACCACATATAAATAAAGACCACTGACAACTAAAAGAACATTAAAAAAGATATCTTTAAAAAAAATGATAGATGGGGAGCTGGGCCTGGGGCTCAGTGATAGAGTACTTGTCTAGCGTGTGTAAGGCACTGGGTTTGATCCTTAGCACCACATAAAATAAATAAAATAAAGGCATTCTGTCCATTTACAACTACAAAAAAATTAAATACAGCTTTATCTTTATTACTAGTTGTTAAAGAACAATTATAACAATTGTTCTCTACCACCATTATTGATCCAGAGTACTGCTGAGTAACTGTACACAAAATAGATCAGAAGAAAGTGCTCAGATCATGACTGTATGTAAAAGCATCTCATCCCCCCACAAAATAATCTCAGTTCTACTGGAACAAGTTCTTCTCTCATTTTGAGCAATTATTCCTTGTTATAACACTCTAGTTCATAGGCGGGCATGGTGGTGAATGCTTGTAATCCCAATGGCTCGGGAGGCTGAGACAGAAGAACCATGAGTTCAAAGCCAGCCTCAGCAAAAGTGGAATGCCAAGCAACTCATTGAGAACCATCTCTAAATAAAATACAAAATAGGGCTGGGCTGTGGTTCAGTGGTGGAGTGCCCCTGAGTTCAATCGAAGGAAGGGAGGGAGGGAGGGAGGAAGGAAAGGAGGGAAAGAAAGGAAGGAAGGAAGGAAGGGAAAGGAAGGAAGGAAAGAAAGAAAGAACTCTACTTCATAATATGTGTATCTCTCCTTTTCAACTTCTACCTATTCTTTTTGTAAATAATACTTTTAACTTCTTTGTGGGTACTGGGGATTGAACCTAGGGGCACTTTTCCACTGAGCTACATTCCTAGCCCATTTTTATTTTGAGACAGGGTCTTGCTAAATTGCTGAGGCTGGCCTTGAACTTGTGATTCTCCTGCCTCAGTCTCCTGAATTGCTGGAATTACAGGCATCACCAACATACCTGGCTAACAACTCTTTTAACTTTAGAGACCTATGGAAATAGTCTATATATGCCTAAGATACATGATATGAAGGCTCATTATGAAAATGATTTGTACTTAACACCATATATATTTTATTTATTTATTTTTTTCTGAGAATGGACTATGAATGGTATTCCTAACTCTGTAAGTCTGAAGGGTCATATGTTTTATATGATGGAAAAGTACCTTGGGATAGAAGAGAGAAAGTGTACAGAAAACTTTGATTAGATATGCATTAGTGATACTACATCTTAAACATTTTAAAATAAAAATGGTTTTACATGTAGATTGTGGGAAATACCTTACTCATGATAGAAGGAAATTCATTGTGACTTTTTAAAAAATTTTTAATATTTATTTTTTAGTTTTCTGCGGACACAACATCTTTGTTTGTATGTGGTGCTGAGGATCGAACCGGGCAGCACGCATGCCAGGCGAGCATGCCACTTGAGCCACGTCCCCAGCCCTCATTGTGACTTTTAAAAAACAATCTATATCACCTGCTGTTAGTATATGAAATTATAGCTCAACTTTTTTCAGGTTTTAAAACTTTTATATAAATATATGATTTCAGTGCCAGGAGTGGTGGTGTATGCCTGTTAACCCAGTTACCCAGGAGGCTGAGGCAGGAGGATCACAAGTTCAAGGCCAGCTTGGGCAACTTGGCAAGAGCCTATCTCAAAATAAAATTTAAAAAAGAACTAGGGATATAGCTCAGTGGGAGAGCGCTTCCACAAGGCCCTGGGTTCAATCCCTAGAACTACAGAAATGATTGTCAAAAACATTTTTGGAATTCTGTTTTATTTTTTTTTAATTTTTTTTTATTTTTTAAAGAGAGAGTGAGAGAGGAGAGAGAGAGAGAGAGAGAGAGAGAATTTTTAATATTTACTTTTTAGTTCTCGGCGGACACAACATCTTTGTTGGTATGTGGTGCTGAGGATCGAACCCGGGCCGCATGCACGCTAGGCGAGCGTGCTACCGCTTGAGCCACATCCCCAGCCCCTGGAATTCTGTTTTAGAAAGTAACTTCAGAAAGGATTTACAAGCAATGCCAGAAAATCAGATGCTTAATATATATAGGAAATATAAAGTCATTTCTTGCCTTTGAAATCAGAATCTTCATTTTAACAAGATTCTCAGGAGATTCATATATACAATTTGAGGCCAGCCCGGGCAACTCAAAACCCCACCTCAAAATAAAATACACTTTAAAAGAGTTGGGGATGTAGCTCAGAATTAGAATGCTTCCAGATTCAATATCCCTTATTGAAAAAAATTCTACCAGAATGTAGAGAAACGCAACCGTGTACATGAATCTCCTGAGAATCTTGTTAATATGAACATTCTGATTCAGAAGGCATGATGTCAGAGCCTGAGACTTTACATTTCCAATATATACTATGCATTTATAATTCTAATATTAGAGATGATTCTGATGCAGGTGTTCAATGGTTAATTGGCTGGTCAGTGTTCTTTTTTTGGTGGGGGTTACTGGGGATCTAACTCAGGATCTCAAGATGTGAGGCAAAGTGTGCTGTCACTGAGCTATAGCCCTAGTTCCTGGTAAATGTTCTTGAAAAGAGGTTCATGTCCACACTTCATTTTAATTAAAAAAAAAAAATTGAGATGGGGGTTACTAGGGATTGAAACCAGAGGCACTCTACCACTGAATGATATCGCCAACTATTTTATTATTATTATTTTTTTATTTTTGAGAAAGAGTCTCACCAAGTTGTTGAGGCTGGCCTCCTGAGTTGCTGGGATTACAGATGTGTAAGGATGCACCCAACCTACCCCTTCACTTTAAAAGAAAATTCTCTCTCTGGGTTTCAAAATAGGATGATTAACAGCATTTTTTTTTTTTTTTTGGAGTTGTACACCATAACTTTATTTATTTATTTTTATATGGTGCTGAGGATCAAACCCAGGGCTATGCATGTGCAAGGCGAGCGCTCTACCGCCAAGCCACAACCCCAGCCCCAATTAACAGCCTTTGTTAAAGAATGACCTAGTCAAGATTTAACAAATGGATGAAGTCTTTAAAGTAGCTCAGTTTTCTGGAGAACACTTATGTCTCCTTCACAGCACTAAGAGGAAATGCTGCTATGGTAATTATTTTAGAAAAGTTAAAACTCTGTAGGCAAGGAAGGGTCTTAATCCCAACCTGGCCTGTAACTTGACTTCTGCTCACATTTGTTACCTTTCAGCTTTGGTACTAGATGTTGAAATTCTTCTAGTGTATAGGCTTCATCGACTCCAGTTAGAGCTATTGCTCCATCCGTGCCAGATCGAGGACCATCCCAAAGTTCTCGACTGGGGTCTCTCCGAGGCACAAAAAGCATGGCTTTATGTGATGGTAACTCCTTGTCAGGCAGGCTCTGAAGGACCAGAATGCTATCAGGCTCTTGGAATCCACACAGGTACAGGAAATTGTTGTCTTGGTGGAAAGTGTAGGGAATGTCATTGCTCATGTAGTACGTAGGATTGGAGAGCACAACCACCGTCTGGTCTGTCCCACTTTGCTCCTGTGCTTCCGTGTAGATCAGAGACATCAGTTTGTGTCTACGAAGTGCATATTCCACCTGAGATAGTCCTGGTGTCACCTCCCCTAGAAATGACAAATGCAAGTGATACTTTGCATGTCTACAGTGCCAAAGTATTAAGGCAGTTTAATATTAAGTGAAGATACTCAAGTTCATTTCTTCTATTTGTGCTACATCCCCTCACAGCACACAGGGTATTAAGACGATAAACCAGGTTGGGTTGGGATTGTGGTTCAGATGTAGATTGCACAATCAATTTTTTAACTTATCTATTTTTAAAGTTGATAGAATTATATATATTTTCTGTGTATACATATTTTAAATCATATGTACATTATGGAATGAAAAAAATCTAGTGAATTAACATACATATTACCTCACATAGTTATCGGTTTTTGAGGTAGAAACACTTTATATCCATTCTCAGCATTTTTCAACAATACAATATATTGTTAAACATAGTCACCATATTGTTAATTTTAGAACATTTCATCAATCCAAAAAGAAACCTCATGTCCAAGAGCAGTTACTCCCCATTTTTTCCCAAAGCCTTCCACTAATTGGCAACCGCTAATTTATTTTTGTATTGGGATTTGCCTTTTTGCAGAGATTTCATATATAGGTCACTGCACAATATATGATCTTTGATGACTCAGCCAACTTTATTCCAATAATTTCTCCAGTTATTCTACAACTAATTCCTTCTTTTCTCTTAGATAAGTCCAGTCTATTCTTCCCTTGTTTACAATGTTACCTTGTTCACAATGTGTTACCTTTCTGAAATTTTATCCCTCCATACTAATTCCCTCTAAGATCTTGGCTTAAAACATTTGTAAGCTTGTTTTTAGATTGTTCTCATTAAAATGCTTTCTTGATCAACCCAGATCATGTTGATTTAACCCTTTGAGTTATTTTTTTAAAAAGGTAACTATTTTAAATTTATATAATATACACATTTATATATATAAATTTATAATTTATATACTTATATACAAATTATATATATACACATCTCTAGACATGTATCCTATAATTAAGTAAAAATGTAATCATATCTTATCCTTTGAGTTATTTTAAAAGGCAATTATTTCTCTCTATATATGTATCCATATATATTTCCCATAGTTATGCATAAATGTAATCACATCTTACTGAAATCTTTCATTAAATATCTTTCTCCTTTCCTTCATTGGCTCTTTCTTCCCTATACTACCTACATCAGCACCCCACCCATATCTGTAAACTAATATGTATCCTTCCTTACTTTTCTCAATACTCACATAATTATGAATACACAATGTTTTTTTAATCACTATTGTTTGACAAAAATGCAATATTGTACACTCTTTTCTGTATCTTGCTTTTCTAATATAACACCATATCAATGGAAATCCTTCCCTCTGAGTCATCTGGTATAGCTTCAATCCATCTGATCTGCTTGATGTCTCCAAAACATTTTAGAATAGCACAACTTTTAGAGCAAGCTCTATACTGGTAGGAATTCATATTGTTCTTAGTTTTCTGCTGCTATAATAAACTTCTTTGTAATTATATCTTGGTAATTTCATGACTTATGTTCCTATGGGATAGTCCCAGCAGAGAAATTGCTGGATCAAAGACCTTTGAATTTTCTTAGAAATCCAGTTTAGCACATGCAACTCAGTTGTTTATGATTACTTTGGAACTGTCCAGTTCTTTTACCTATGTAAAACAGCAAATGTGATCAAATTCTGTAGTATACGTTTAATAAAAATAATTTTAATTTTCTAGACTGTATAAAAGAAAAAAGTTTACATAGTTATTATTGAAGTTGACAAGAAACAGAAGAGATAACTGAGGGCCTTACAGGCCAGTCTGAACCAGGCAAATACAGAGAGCTGAAAAAGAACTCATATAAAAAAAAATGTTTAAGACGGAGCTGGCTAGGAGTTCTCTAGGACTCTCAGGTAGAATACTGAACTTTGTACTAGAGCTGAAGAATATCTTAAGTCTCTGATAACTATTCATGTTAAGCCTGCTACTATTACCCAACATTGAAAATTTCCTACTTTACTCAAGCAGTGAGTACTTTTTTATAAAAGCAGAGTCTGACTATAATTGTGGATTATTTGACCTTTTCTTTTTTGCTATTTCACTTTCTTCTTTTCCTAAAATTTGCTTTAAGAAAAAAAAAATCAATTCATTTTGTGTCTAAAAAAAATTCAGTGGTAGAGCATGTGCTTTTAGCATGTGTACGGCCCTGGGTTCATCCCCCAACAAAAGAATTCTGATCAGAAAGAAATTCATAATTTTAATAATTTCATTAAATTATTATCTCATTTTCATTAACAACAGAGTATACATTAACAGATATMAAGAAGTAATTTCTGAAAAATAATTATTTTGAAACCAAAGTAGGACTGGAAAACAATCTTTCACACCATTTAAAGCATTCCTTTATTTGTCAAATCCAATTTCACACAAACGACTACATGAGAAATGTTGAAACCGCTGGCTATATTTTCCCAAGTCTACAAATTATCAACACCAGAGAGTGATCATTAACTAAATGTTTCCCAAGTTTCAAAATCTCCAAGTAATAAAGAACTCTGTGGCAACAGAAAAATTACCCAGGATAAAGATATCTTTTCTTTTCATTTGAAGGAGGTGGGGGGAAAGGTGTGATAAAGCAATGAACTTTAAGCCCTAGAATCAACTTGGCAGTTGCAGTGGCCTTTGATCGCAGAACTAAGTATTATAGTCAATCTGACCTGAATTTCTTCTGATAAAGCTGTTTCGGAATAGACATTCTGGCACTCTGTCAAATTGTAAAGTATTAAGAAACAAAGTCATTATTTTGTCATGTGAAATCAATTATGGATGGGCAGGCTTTTCTAACAAGTTTATTTAACCAGTCAAAAGCCTGAATGTCATAAAACTGGACTTTTCAAGTAGCAAAGTCTCATAAGCAGTTCCAAGACTCTGCAGCCAAGAAGTAAAATTCTTCCAAGACATTCAGGACTTGGGGACTCTCAAGAGAGCAAGAAGAATGATTTTCATATTTTCTTGGCCAAGCAGAAAACCCAGAGAGGAAAGTGAAATAAAGACTAAAAATGGATAGAAAGATGCAAGTTTCTACTACAGTCTAGGTATGTATTTTAATTATTTCCTGAAACTAACTAGATTAGGAATTAATATGGTCTAATTCTAAAAAGAATTCTACTTAATACCAGGTAGTTACTACTGTAAATAAAGAAGTAGTTCATGAACTGATTTTACTACTATACAGTAGGAGAATGAGGAGAATGAAAAAGCTCGTGATTCCTTTATAAGGTAAAACAGATCTCTCTGAAAAAAATGAAATGACCAGATGATTTTTATTTAAAAATAAGTTGTACATGAACAGGATTCTTTTATTTTATTTATTTGTATGTGGTTCTGAGGCTTGAACCCAGTGCCTCACGGGTGCCAGGCAAGTGCTCCACTGCTGAGCTACATCCCTAGCCTTGAAATGAGCCAACTATTATATTTGAATTAGATTTTATTTGCATATGTTGAATAAAATAAGCCACATGGGGCACAACTATTTGATTCTGTATATTCACTTATAGGACATTAAGAACATACAAAATAGCTGGGTGCAATGGTGTTCATCTGTTAATCCCAGGCATCTGGGAGGCTAGGAAGGAGGATTGAAATCCAGCCTCAGCACAACTTAGCGAGGCTCTGTCTCAAAATAAAAAATAAAACGAGCTGGAGATGTGGCTCAGGGTTAAGTGCCCCTGGGTTTATTCCATGGTATCAAAAAGAAAGAAAGAAAGAAAGAAAAAATAGGCAAAACAATGAAGCAATATAAACACTAGAGGAATGGTTGAAGATGGAAGTGGGATTGATTGCAGGGGGCATCAGGGAACTTTCTGGTATGATGGAAATGTTCTATATCTTAACTGAGTTTTAGGTTACACTGGTGTACACTTTTGTCAAAACTCTTTGAATTATACATTTCAGATCTGTGAAATTCACTACATGTAAACTTACCTTATTAAAAAAAGCATACCCCTTTCTAAAACTGAAATAATTTTTTACACTAAGTCTTCCCTCAGATGGATTTCTTCTTAAAATGAGAAGAGATTTAAAAAGTTCCCAGATTATCAGTACAGATGCTATGCACTATTTTGTAGTTAAAAGTGTTTACTCTGGGGTTGTGTCACTCAGTGGTAGAGTGCTTGCCTAGCATGCTTGAGGCCCTGGGTTCTATCCCCAGGGCTGAAAAAAAAGAGTATGGACTCTTTGAGTCAAGACTTTGCTAGTTAGAATCCTACCATAGCATAATACTGAGTTACTTGGGAATATCAAAGTTCTCTGTGCTCCAGTTTCTTGATCTGTAAAAAGGAGATAATAGTACCCGCTTAACAAAGTTGTCAGGAGGATTACATAAAGGCTTAGAATAGTAAGCACTATTTAAGTATTAGCTATCATTATTACCAAAAAATAATTTATATTTGAGAGACTGTCATCTTGGTAATCCCAAAGCCAGGCAGAACTTTGCAAGAGTAAAATTTTCATGGAAAACCACTATTCATCTCAACATTTCTATCTGTGTAGAAGGCCTGGAAAATCTTTGGCTTTCTCACGTAAAAGTGAGTCTCAAGTGACTATTCATGAATTTTTAAATTATCATTCAATTCTTTAGAAGGCTCTTGACTCATGCCTGGAGCTGATTCTTCTTAATCTTTGCCCCTAAATTTTTCTGAGTATTTATGAGAAACACATACAAAGGTAAAAGAGGGAAATTGGTCACTTACTAAACCAGCATTTAAACCACCTGAAAACATTATCTTTCAAGATTTTCTATTTTTTCCTGGTATTTAAAAAAAGGCAGAGAAATTCTCTATACTTCTGCTCTAGATGGCAGTGTATAGAATTTCTATACATTAGTTACATATGTAAAGGCATAGGTTCTTTATTGTTCATTAATTTATAACTCAAGCAATGAAGATAAGATGAAAACACATAATTCAAATATATAGTATTTACAAAATTGACAATACAAATATATAGTATTTAAAAAATTACAGTTACACCAGGGGTGAGAAAAAAAATATTAAATTACATAAAGACAGGTAGACTTTATGGTGATTAGTAATACAAAAAGTGGACCTTGAACTTAAATGCAAAACTTTTCATCAACTACTCTGCTTATCAGATGTGATCTATAAGAAGTATTTGGCGAGTATCCCATAGGCAACTGGTGTGCAGAGCAGCACACTAAAGAAGCTCTTCAAAACACATGTAGTTGGCGTGGTGGCACACGCCTATTAATTCCAGTGACTTGGAAGGCCGAGGAAGGAGGATCACAACTTTGAGGCCAGGCTCCGCAACTTAGCAAAACTGAGTCTCATAAAAAAGGAAAGAAAAAGAAAAGGAAAAAACACAGGTTGTAAGCCCCCCTTAGATTCTGATGCAGCAAATCTACAGTGTCCTGCAGTACATATTTCCTTTGACGAAGTTCCCTCAATGGTCTATGCAGATTTCTGCCACTTTTAATTTCTTTCATTCTTGGATATATATTTTAATATTTTATAAACAGTATCAAAATTTCACCACCACCAAAATAATGTCCTTCAACTTTTAGATATTATTAAAGCTGACCATGCTTATTAACAGCCCATTTTCTAAAAAATGTACCCACTTTTCAAGGGAGAACTATAATTAAACTATCATTGAAAGATTGGTACTCAGCTAATTTTGAAACTTTCAGGAAAGATTATTTGGGAATTCTTATCTACAACTCACTCTGGAACCAATATTTATTTTATTTTATTTATTTATCTTTTGAGGTCCTGAGGGTCAAACCCAGACCCTTGGACATGTTAAGCAAGCACTTTACCAGAGTTCTAACTCCAGCACTCATCATTTTAATATGTAATGATGTTTTGGTCAAAGGTGGACTACATATTTATGAGGCTGGTCCCATAAGATTACATCACTTAGTGAAGTCTAGTAGTTTTAGTTTGTGTAAGCATATGCAATGATGTTTGCACAATAATGAAACTGCCTAATGATGTGTTTCTTAAAAATTGGCCCTGATATTAAGAGACATATGACTATATTACATTTGACAAAAACGGCATCGGATCTGCCATTATATTTCATGACAGAGATAAAAAGACAAATGGAGAAAGGATTAAGTTGTTGCTGTACAGTTTAACTCTGATTACTTCCCAAAGAATCTGATCACTGCTATTATTGAGAGTAAAAAGTGTTTCTAGATATGTGATACAAGTCCCTCTGAGCAGAATCTTCTTAAAGCCAGTTTTCCAAACTATTCCACATATTCAAAACTTAGTTTTGCCTCATAATATAAAAATGTTAGCTACATAGGTTTTTGAAAATAATGCTTCATTAGTCATCTTACAGATTCTTCTCATTCATTCCCTGATTAAGTTTCTGTTTCTCTGAGCTGAATGTTTGCTGCTCTGCTAATGACAACATTACACCTGTGGCAATGTCAGGGAACAAACAGTGTCTTATACAGATATATAAAAAGATTCACAGTTCATAATATGATATATCTCAAAATGACACTCGCCTCCTACATGAAACCATATATATATCTGGGAGGAAAATAAAGGGCATGATAGTGATAGGAGATTGACAGTCATTTTCAATCTCTAGATACATAGTCCTTAGCATTGTAGAAACAGTCTATAATGCTCAGACTTTTCTAAGTTCCGAAAAAATCACTATGGGAACCTGGGGGAGCCAGTGTGATTGCAGTTCCAGATAAAGAAGTAGCAACATAGCTATAGCAGAATTCCTTTACTTCTCATGCCATCCTGCTGAATATTTTCCAAACCACCATTGCTTCAGGAATCTTGGGTAGGTATGGCAAAGAAAAATCTAAGGGAAATGGCTCCCAGAAATTCAGAGGAGCTAATCCAAGAATTTCACTGCTAAGAATTTAAGGAAATAATTGAGCAAAATACAAAGAGTGTATACCTATATTTACTTACACACACCATACACACATGTTCCTATATGAGTCTAGCCAGGCACAAAATATACACCTGTAATCCCAGGGGAGGATGAGCCAGGAGGATTATAAATTCGAGGCCATCCTGGGCAATTTAAGTGAGACTGTCTCAAAATACAAGCCAAAAGCCAGGCCTGGTAATACATGCCTGTAATCCCAGCAACTTGGAAGGCTGAGGCAAGAAGACTGCAAATTCAAGGTCAGCCTAGGCAATTTAGCAAGACCCTGTCTCAAAATAAAAATAAAATAAAAAAGAAAACAATTAAAAACAAAAAAAAAAGGACTGGGGGCTGGGGATGTGGATCAGTGGTTGAGAGCTTGCCTAGCAGGCACAAGGCCCTGGGTTCAATCTCCAGCATCGAAAATAAAAAAAAATATGCGTATCACTTATGGGATAATTGAAATAGCAATGTTTTCCAAAAGTTATAAGTACTACCATAATTATGCCAAATATGAAACCTTTTGGAGCAAACTAAGTAATAGGTGACATTATTTTATATGCCAAACTGCCTCATTGTCTTTAGTTGTTTAAGAGATTTTAAAAAATGTACCACATGCCTTTTAATTGTTCTTAAAAATTTACTTTCCATCCCATAATCATTTAAACACTTTTCAAGTTTTACATCTTCATATGGAGGAAAAACAAGTGATCAATACTTTGGATACTATTTTTTCCTGCAAAATCTATATACCTGATGGTTCCTTTAAAAATTAAAACACTGATAATTCTGTTTTAAAACTCTTATCTCCTCTATTCTTTTCCACTTTCTGGTTTAGTTGTTCTGCCTTGACTCTTAAATATTTAACAACAAAGGTGTATTCATGAGGATGAATCTTTTTTTCAACCTTTAAATTGCATCCTTACCAGAGATTTCTTGTTTCATTCTAGGTTCTTCCCCCAGCCCATTTAAATTTTGTGTATAGTTTGGAAAAGATTTAAGGACTGAAGCAGAATATCCTTGATGATAAAAGGGCATTCACATGGAAAACAAAACAAAACAAACTCCATTTACTTCTCTCTCTTCTCATTTATCCCAATGTCCAAAATCCTACATTCAAGAGTAAAATTAGGACAGGCATCTGTTTTCCCATATAGCAAAAATAATCATATTTATGTAAATGAACACATACATGTATATATTTATTTACATGAATTTAAAAAACATGATTAGGCGGCACATGCATGTGATCCCAGTGGCTTGGGAGGCTGAGATAAGAGAATCGAGAGTTCAAAGCCAGCCTCAGCAACTGTGAGGCACTAAGCAACTCAGTGAGATCCTGTCTCTAAATAAACTACAAAATAGGGCTGGGGATGTGGCTCAGTGGTCGAATGCCCCTGAGTTCAATCCCTGGTACCAAAAATATATCAATCAACCAATCAATAACATGCTTAACACTCAGATAATGTATAGCAAAGCAGTCTAGACACAGAAACCAATATGTTGACAATTTGATTACCATGTTTTCAAGGCCTGGAAAATGCAGCTCACCAAATAAAATTATTTTACCACAAGAAATCAATACCTTTCAAAGCTGGTAAATCTCAATATCAAGTGTACTTTTCTTCCTTAAAAATGATTATAGGTAGGTTGATATGGTAGAGAAATACTTAAATATCAATCGGACTGCTAGTAAGCTTACCTTACAGCTTTGAAAAACTCTGATTTCTTGTGTTTCAGTGGTGAGCTGCATTTCCTGAGTCTCAGCCAATTTCCCAGCAGGAATTCCCGTCTGATGAAGAATCAGCAAAAGGAAGCCCTCACTGAGACATACTGGTATCATTCACTGAATGGAGACAGTGAAAGAATAACATGTTTCTAAAGGCAACTTATTTTATTAACATATACGCTTACATAGTAAATACAGCTTTAATTAACTCCTCAAGGTGGGAGAAACTTTTCTTGAAAAACTGACAAATGCTTTTTCTACAAAGCATTTGATGTTACTCTCCTGGGTTTTAATATGCCTACCTCTTTGTTTCATATTCATTCATCATARCTGATCCCTTAAATGCTTTTTTAGAAAACAAAAAACATCTTTAGTTTTGAACACTCAATGATGCACCTTCTAGCAGCAATACTGGGATCTCACAGCAGAAAAACAATTAATGAAATAATTTATCAATTTTTTGCATCATCTTTATCAATTGAAATTGACTGCCTCTTCAGGTGATGACAAACAAATATGGAAATCTTTTTCACATATATAAAAATATTTGAAATGAACTTTAACACTTTTGAGAAAGATGTTTTTTAAAATGTCTCTTTGTGTGTGTTTGGTTCTGGGGATTGAACCTAAGGCCTCATACATGCTAAACAAACATTTTACCACTAAGCTTAGTCCCAGCTCTTTAAAATATCTTTTAACACAGTAATTTACAAATAATCAATAGTCAGACAGAGTTATAAAAACTTTGACTTAGGAGGCTGGGGTAGGAGGATTCAAAGTTCAAGGTCAGTCTTGGCAACTTAGTGAAACCCTGTGTCAAAACAAAAAATAAAAAGGGTGGGAATGTAGCTCAATGGTGAAGTGTCCCGGTTGTTCCCTAGGACTAACAATATGAAAATAAAAACATCCTGAAATAATATTTTTCAATAGTTATTTTGAATTATGAGGTTTACTGTATTTATTGTTATGGAGTGACTATTAATACAGTATCAGTAATTGCATGTAGCTATTTAAGTTTAAATTAGTTAAAAATAAAATAAAAACTAGTTTCTCAGTCATCCTAGCAATATTACCAATGTATATTTGCCTACCAGATATTTCACAGAACAGCACAGATCTAGAATACTTGTATCACTGCAAAAAATCTTAATATTCTAGAGAAAGCACCTAAATGAAGAGACAGCTTGTTATGTTTAAAAGGCCTTACCTGGTCGGAGGAGGTGTGGATGTGTGAAGGGGCTAGGCTGGCCTAAATATCGATTTGGAATTCTCCTCTCTGGCACAGGCTGGAGAGAGTATCTTCGCTGTAAACATGATATGCATCCTGAAGGAAGAATAGAGAGGATGAAGTAGAACAGATCTATACATCCTTTATGGTACTCATGCATTTATTTCCAACACTTTGGATGATTAGGAAAAGCAAGTTAGCATTTCCTTCAATCTCCCAATATTTAAATGGTTCTTCCCCATTTGTGAGAGCCTGTGATGGGCTCTAGGAAAACAGAAATGAGGTCATCCCTACTCTCATCATGTTGCCTGCTACAGTATAATGGAGACAGATATACATAGACACACATACATGTATGTAAAACAAAGGTAGGAACAAGGTGAAGGAAGGGAACAAACAAAAAACAAGAAAGGGGTTAGGAAGGAGTTCACATAGATAGCTTGAGGCTGTGTCCTAAAATTTAGGAGAAGATAATTAACTTTTTTTTTTAAATGAATGTGTGAATGCTAAGTATGAGTGATATCATATTTAATCTTGGAATATTACAGCCAGATAACATATGAAAATGCTTAATCATAGGATATAATAAATGTCAACATTATTATCACTAACTGAACAAAAGTTTATTGAGCACATGATTGGAACATATGCTGGAGAAGACACAAGAATGACAAGGGTTCAACCCCCAGTACAAAAAAAAAAAAAAAAAAAAAAATCAAGATTATTTACCTGGGTCTTCAAACAATCTAAGAATATTCAGCTAGAAGTAGACGTGAGACAAGGTGAGAAGAAACAGCACTATAATACTTCATGGTTAATGTAGAAGTAGATTCAAATGCAAGTTTTTTTTTTCCCCCCTTGGGTGGGTTCTGGAGACTGAACCCAGAGGCACTTAACCACTGAGCCACATCCCCAGCCCATTTTTTGATTTTTTTGAGACAGGGTTTCACTAAATCACGTAGGCTAATCTAATCTAGAACTTGCAGTCCTGTCTCAGGCTCCTCAGTTGCTGGGATTACAGGTATGTACCACCCCACATTGCCATATGTTAGGTTTTTGAGAACACAAAGCTATCATAATGCCTAGAGTTGGGTGCAATGACAAAAGGCATGTGGTACTCTGAGGAACACAGGAAAACATACAAAAGGTATTTCTGCAGATATATTTCTGTGCACATGTGCTTGAATGTGAAAGGGTAGGAGGAGGGAAAGAGACATGTAAGAATGCACCAGGGCAACAGCACCCTACTCTACCAGAAGGTGAGGGCTGCTGGAGGGAGATGAAAAGATTAGGAAGTTAGGCCCAGGCCTTTAAAGGTATTGTATGGTAAATTAAAGAATTAGATTTTTAAGTTCCACATGAAGTAGACATTATCATCATTATTTTATAAAAGAGGAATCTGATACAGAAGTAATTTGAACAAGGTCACACAGTACTGGGGAGCTAACATTCAAACCCAGGTTTACATAGTTCATAATCTTTGCACTCTTCCCTCTGTGCAACAGTTCAGGAGATCTTCTGTTTTAATCTCAACAACGCAATCAGTACTGAACAATATCCTTGGAGCATAAAATCAGTACATAGGCAGAACATGATTAAGTATGGATCAAGTGAAAGATTTCTATAGGAGTTATGAAGTATGAATGATGTTATATGTATTTCAGAGAGAGTTAGAAGTCTTAAATGTTCACCCAGATTAAATTTATTGAAGATTGTTGAGAAAAATAATAACTTGTTGGATGATAAAAGAAAATGGTGTCTGGATTGAGGAAACAGTCTCTTCRCTGATCTGCCTGTCTTGGTCTTGCCTCTTCAATTCATCCTCTATAGGTCATGCTATTTCCAAAATGATCTTTCCAGTCCTTTGCTTCAGGCTGGGGTTATAGCTTAGCAGTAGAGCACTTGTCTGTAGTTCTTTGCAAGTCTTGGCCAGGCAAGTCATATGTAAATTCTAGGAGCTGTCTTTAAACTCTATAACAGAGCAAGCTTTCTAACAGTATAGCCTCTACTAACTGTATACGATTAAAATTTTCTACCTTTCAGAAAAAGCTTCAAAATCCTTAACTTAGCATCTTTCACAGTCTAGATACTAGACCAGACTAATTCTCAAAAACATTACTGAAGTCACACTAGGCTACATGAAGATGCCCAGCAAATCATTTTGTATCATAACAGCATTTGCCTTCAAAAATATAGTTGTCTTGGTTTAAAAATKAATTTTGCCTGCTTTTTTTGACTATACAACTTCTAAAAATTCAGATCAAACATCATTTAGGTAGGAAGCCTTCTCTTACATTCCCAATCCTACTGCTACAGATGCAGATGTTGTCCTGCGATGCTTATATATGCTTATTTCAACTATAATGCCTGCCACTTAGCACATAATTCCTAGTTTGCCAGTCTACTCTAAATTTTTGAAAGGCACTTATTATTCGACTTTGGTTTTCCATGACTGGATTTGCAATAGATATATTTTGAAGGTTAAAAAGCCTATCAGGGGAGCTGGGGTTGTGGCTCAGTGGTAGAGTGCTCACCTAGCACGTGCGAGGCCCTGGGTTCGATCCTCAGCACCACATAAAAATAAACAAATAAAAATATAGGTATCATGTCCAACTACAACTAAAAAAATAAATACTAAAAAAAAAAAAAAAAAAAAAAAAAAAGCCTATCAGGGACTGGGGATATAGCTCAGTTGGTAGCGTGCTTGCCTCACATGCACCAAGGCCCTGGGTTCAATCCCCAGCACCCCCCTCCCCAAAACACACACACAAAAAGCCAATCAGTCTTCTGATTAGATGCAGAGAGTAAAGACAGAAGACGATGATTCCTAGATTTGTGGCCTGAACAGTGGGTGAATAGTACACCATTAAATGAAACAGGAAAGACTTTGGGTACTTATTGGATATCACAATAGAAAAGTCAAATAGAAAGTCTTTATTTCAGAAGGAAGAGTGACAGGCTAGATAATAATTAAATGAAGGTATTAGAAGCACATAGGTGATATCTAAGCCCTGGGACTAGATATCACTTAGGGAGACTGAATAAAGGCTAGATCTATAAAATTTTAAGTGTGAAAAGCACAGAAGAAAATAAGAAAATAGAAGACTATGGTACTTAGGAAGCTAAAGAAACAAAGGTATTTTAAAAAAGGAGGAAGGAATCAACTGTGGCAAGTGCTTCAGAATATGAGAAAGCCAAAAGGACAACCACTGGACTCTGTAACATGAAATTCCCTCGAGAAACTGACAAGCACATTTTTAGCAGAGTATAGATGGAAACCAGATTGGAGCGTGCCAGGGGCTTTCTAATTCAGTTTTCCCAATTGCCATTTATTCTCTACATAGCAGCCACTGATCCATTTAAAAATAAGTCAGGGCTGGGGATGTAACTCAGTGATAGAGTCCTTGCCTAGCATGTGTGAGGCTCTGGGTTCAATCCCCAGTATAGTGGGGGCTGGGGGAGTAAATCAAACAATTAAGCCCAAATATCTACCCCCCATGACCTTCCAAGGTGTTTGAGATAGCTCCAAACTATAAAAACCCAAAATGTTTGTTGGACTGATACTGTCTTTTAGTTCTATGCCCCCATCACATTGCCCTTTATTTCTTTGGAAGTTTATATCACATTATCTCATGTTGTTTACTTATTATTTGTAATCAATGGTTAATTTTTTTTACCTGTACAAAGTAGGGATTCAAGTTATATTGAATACATAAACGAACAATTTCCAAAATCTTTAACTACATATTGAATAGTATTAAACTTTTTTTGACAACAGGGATTGAACCCAGGGGACTTAACTAGTGAGTCACATCCCCAGCCCTTTTTGAGACAGGATCTCACTAAGTTGCTTCTGACCTCCCCTAAGTCACTGAGGCTGGCTCTGAACTTCTGATTCTCCTGCCTCAGCCTCCCAGGTCACTGGGATCACAGACGTGTGCCACCATAGTAAATTTAAGTGGGTAAAGATACCATCTCAAATGACTCACCATTGGGATGCAAAAATCTGGCATATTAAGCCACTTTCTCCAGGAAGCCTTCCCTGACATCCTAGTCTGGGACAGATGTTTCTTATTCAATTGTTTATCAGCCAGTACTTCTTCTATCACTGCCTTTATTATATTGTTACAAATTAAAATAAATGTGTCAACTACTTAAAATCTTTTTTCACATAGTTCATTAAGTGATTTCTTTCTAAACCAAAACATGGAGGAAACAGAAAGTAAGGCTCAGTAATCTGGAGGTCATATTACATAATGCTGTGGCCACTAGCAAAAGGGCCTTTTAGTTTATGAGGCATTGTTTGGGGCCTGGGGGGGGGGGATACAGTAAAAACAGTGTAGAAGATTCAGGATGTTCTGGCGTGTCTCTGGTCTAGTTCCATTTGGAAGTTCCAGTCCCTACTTCTAACCTGGAATGACACCATAATGCAGCCCTCTCTGACATAAACTTATAACTCTGCTTTCCACATAATCAGACTTCTAATGTCTCCTAGCAGTGGCTCATGGTAGTAGTATTTCCTTTAATGTAAAAATGTGCCTATTTGTAGTCACTGCCTCTACCACCAACAGAGCCTGAGCTTCGAGGAAAAGACAGTGCTCACTATCCAGTGTACTGTTAAAACATGGTGGATTACTATGAAGTTCTAGGAGTACAGCGATATGCTTCACCTGAGGACATTAAAAAAGCTTATCATAAAGTGGCACTTAAATGGCACCCTGATAAAAATCCGGAAAATAAAGAAGAAGCAGAGAGAAAATTCAAAGAAGTAGCTGAGGCATATGAGGTATTATCAAATGATGAAAAAAGGGACATTTATGATAAATATGGCAAGGAAGGATTAAATGGTGGAGGTGGAAGTCATTTYGAGGATGAATACGAGTATAGCTTCATATTCCGTAAGCCAGATGATGTCTTTAAAGAAATTTTTAGGGAAAGGGACCTATTTTCATTTCACTTCTTTGAAGACTCACTTGAGGACCTTTTAAATAGTCCGAGAAGTTTCTATGAGAGCAGAGGAAGTGCAGGATCCTTTTTCTCTACCATCAGTGAACATCCAACCTTGGAGAGATTTTCTTTCTATGATACAGGATATA